AAATTTGTGGACCAGATTGCTCCTTAATGTTAGAAAAAATATCTTTGTGCACCCCAGTGCACGATCTCACACCCTCAAGCCATCCCTTGGCTCCTCATTATGCTCTGCAGCAGACAGCAAAGGAGTTCAGGGTTACAAACGTTCCTCCTCCTCCAACACTGGTGCAGGATTTGCGTTGCACCTCCTGCTATGGCCTCGGGGATGAATATCTGTAGAAGGGGATTCTTTTGTCTGGACACCAAGGTGCATAATGCACCACACAACAGAATACATTATGTTGCGTGTATTAGATCCAAAGCAGGCTGTCAGCGAGTGACTGCAAAAATATTCTTGAGGAAAGAGCAATAAACTTTGATCTGTGCACCCTTTTTGAAAGTTACTTGACCAATTAGAACACAAACACAGACTTGTTCATCTGTCATTTAATGCTCGCCCGTTATTATTTTTAGTCACTAGATTGTTGCAACAAAAGGCCTGCAGATAATCTGCTTCCTTTATATGTAAACACGCAGCTATGGCCATCATTGTCATTCACTGTGATTTGGAGTAAGAGGGGATGGAGATCACAGTTCATCCTATGAAGGAGGTTCGTTATACAAACATCTGCCTCTCATTATGGAGCTGAGACTCACCACTGACTGGATGAGTAGCTGCTGATTCACTGTATGCAACTGGGACGGACTCTGTTTGTCTCTTGCAAATGGATTATTCTTTTTCATCTTGTTTGTCAGATTGAGTCAAAAACAAATTCTGTGGTTAAAAATAAAAGTGGAATATTAAGTTGCCACAGAATAATTTCTTCGTAGTGTTGTTGTGTCGCACGTATTCTTCTATTGTTTTATATTTTCTGTTTTTTTGTTTTGTTCATATTAATCATTTTTTACTATTAGGCAGGATGTATTGAGAATCAGCTTTATTGTCATTGCACCGAAGCACAACAAAATTACATTTCAATATAGCCTGTCCGAGTAAAACGTAAACAAACAGACATGGGGGGACGGAGGTGTCTGAGGCTGCGGCCCCATGGGAGGTGCAGCCTTTTTTGTTTAGATAAGAAAAGAGAAGCACAGGGTAAGGGGAGGTATAAAGAAAATCATATTTCACACTGTGTCCTAGAGGGACACTGTGAAAGTTGCAAAAAATAAAACCTCAGCACAGAAACAACAACGTACTGATGACATCATGATACATATGTTTAAAGAAGGCCGACGAAGGTGGTGAGTTTGTCCGTGTACACTGCCAGATAGTCCCCATTCATGTGTCCATATGTCTGTAAACTCTCTTGTCCCGCCCACAAATTCTGATCCACTCAAAATAATTGAATGAAACTTCATACACATATGTATCATCACTAGACAGAGTGTTGCATACACTTTCATCAATCCAGCTTCACAGTCAAGGTCACAAAGAAAGACCAAATATTATACTGTACAAGGTTTTTGCTTGTCACGGCCACTGCCATAGATTGTTGTATGAAAGACTGACATATAATGAGCCATATTTGGTACTTTTCTTTGCATTTTTAAGCACTTTGAGTTGCCACTGCATTTAAAGGGTGCTATTTAAAGTTGGATTGAGTAGTAGATGGCAGTCATTTTACTTTCTGCATGAATTAGTGTCTCTTAGCAAAATATCTTAGTATTACATAACTCTACAGTATGCTTGTGATCCACTGGACGGATTCCACAAAAATGGCTACAACATAGTCAGCTTAATAAATACTGAGTTAAAATTTGGTGTATTAGTAGCTGACACTCATTCACAACACTTACTCTGAGTGTGACGTCTCACGATATTGCACATTACAAATAATTGTTGCATAACCTAGTCTTAATTAGGGGTGTAAATCAACAACTTTACCACGATACGATACTGTATTGATTTGTTTGTATGGCAATACGATTTTTCTCAATATCACAAAGTCTGTCACGATACGATTTTAATTCTATTCGATTCACAAGTCGGTGATCGATATATTGCGATATCAAATGTCCATCTCATTTACATATCAATAAATTTACGAAAACAATTCAAATATGATTTAACCATTTTATTTCTGTTATTACAGGCACCAGGCATTTAAATATTTTTTTTCTTAATTAATGAAAAATTAAAAATAAATGACCTGTTCATTATAGGCTCACATTTCTCATGTTCAAGTGCATTTTTTAAACCAGTTAACTTAAAAGTGCCCGATTACCTTTCAGTTATAAAGAAACAAAAATAGATATTGAGCTTACATAACATGGCTATTAATGATGTGTTTCTTCTTCAGGTGAACAGACAAATTTGTTGTTTCCCGAGTATTTTAACTCACACTGGCATCTGTTGCATACGGCATGAGTTTTGGCTGTTGAGCCGTTTTTCTGTTGAAATCAAAAATATTTCCACAGTGTTTATTTAAATCCAGCAGGAGAGTGAATTTCATTATCTGTGTTTTCTGCCTCGTCTGCCATGTTGCTGAGTGACACAGACGTGTCTTGGCAATTTCAAAATAAAAGCGTATTTTAAAGATGACGATATGAATCGATGTTTTAGTTTTGTCACGATATAATTGAATCATTAATCATTTAATCGATAAATCGATGTAAATCGATGTATTGTTACACCCCTAGTCTTAATGTAAAACTCTGATATGAAAGGTGGCTATGTATTTTTAATGAGTGTTGCCTTTCATTTTCTTAAAATGAGCCTTTACTACATTTTGTTTATCACACTTAGTGCTTATTATGTTTCAACTACTTGGATTGCATGAGACTATTTGTCTGGAGTCTTGTGGATTTTTTTATTGATTATCTGACCACCTCAAGGGAGCAAAACAGAGCCAAGAAATCTCATAACCTTTACATTATCAATTTTTCACCTTTTAGAGTCAGGTTTTCATTTTCTTTCCTATGGGCTATCAGCTGATTGGCTGTCTGTTCTAGACATCCACAGCTTCTCTTTTGAGGCGAGAATGAGAGCGCATTCACTCACACTGTGCACTGAATTAATCAGGTGTTTGTTTTTTGTTCTCGAGGCTTTTCTCCAAATCATTCACTGCATTTATGTCCTGATGCATGCTCAATAATCCAGGTAGAAAAATCTAACAAGGTTAAGTCTGGACATATTCTACTTTGTTGAGAGAGAAGAGTTCGTGCAGAGGACCTGACTTAACTTTGTTAGATTTTTTTTACATTTACTTTTCCTTTTTGAAGAGCAAAACAGGGCACCTGAGGGACTGAAAAAAAGTGTGTGGTGGGGGGTGGGGGGTGGGGGGGGCATGTAGAGGAGGCAAATGTGGGGAAATGTTCAGTTTTCGCACTTTAGTGGTTGGATGTTTTGTGAGTTTTAGTTTGATGATTGCATGCACTTATTCATATACTGAATGTAATTTGCAGTTTAAAAATAAAGTAAACACTTTTATTGAATTAAAATATTCTCTAAGGACATCACTGATAATAAGCCCATGTCATTTTTTTCATATTAAAACATACAGATGCTACAGATTTGACGACATACAAAAAGTTGCATCTTAAAGACTGCGATATTCATGCATATTGATTTAACACTTTTATGTCACAATATAAACCCTAATTATTTTTCCAGACAGTGCTGTATTGATTCATTGTTCTTCAGAGATGACTGCAGGCACCCTAACCTCATTTCCTGCTGAAGCGCTGAGAAAGTGAAGGATGGGTCATAGTTTTACTGAACCACTAAGAGCACTTGCTGCACAGATGTCAGGGAGAATGCATTTTCCACACATGAACTTCTTCCATAACGGTATCCTGCAGTTTGATACAGTATAACCACATAGATTTGAGTTTTTGTTACAGTTCACCCTGAGAAAACAGCCCCACTATAGTTGGCCTGTTTATTCTGTTGCCTGCTTTGATTTTCCCAATCAACCCTTAGTGACATTCTCATGACGTGAGTTTTCTGAACTGTGAAAACCAGTGTCAGGAAAATGGGAACACTGTTTCTATTGATCAGAGTGAAACATCAGCCCACATGAGCAACACAACGGGCGTCTGAAGTGAGGAGCAGCCCCTGCACTAGTGAGCAGCTGTCAGTGAGTTAAAGTACAGCACATGTGGCTTGAGACCTCAAAGATGTCCATGACAGTCGCTGCAAATCCCTCACAAGTTTAGAAGGATATGAGTGAAGTTGACCCCCTCCACCTTCTTCAAAGCTAACAAAATTGATGTCAAGCGTTTTTGCTACGTTTGTGCTGGTTTGTGCAGCAAAAATGTTCATTTGTGGCACAATCATTTTAAATATATTAACAAATGTTTCCAGGGGTCATGAAAGCTCAACCAGCACCACCCCCCACCCTCACTTTCTTCAAATCAGATAAAATTGTTGTCAATCATCTCGGCTATGTTTGTGCTGGTTTGTGCAGCAAATATTTCCGTTTGTGCTGCTTTTGATTTGAAGATATTATTGAAAGTTTAAAGGTCAAAAGGTCAACCAGCACCCCCCTCCCAAATTACTCAAATCTAACAAAATCAGGGTCAAACATTTGTGCTGGTTTGTGCAGTAAAATTTCTGTTTGTGCCGCTATCATTTCAAAGATATTAATTTTAAAAAGTGTCCAGAGGTCATCAAAGGTCAACAAAAATCTGTTCATGTTGGGTTAGGGTTAGGGTCTGGGGTGGGCAGAGGGGGCTGGTTGACCTGTTTATCTTTAAACTTTCAGTAATATGTTCAAAGCAAACGCAGCACAAACATAGTAGAGTTTACTGACACAATTTTTTTGATTTTGTAAATGTGGAGGGCTGGTTGACCTCTGATTATCCCTGGTAACTTTTTTAATTAATATATTTTAAATGAAAGTGGCACAAACAAAAAAATTGCTGCACAACCCAGCACCATCGTTTGAGGGGGGCATCTTCATGCAGGTTTTAGAAGGTTTGTGCTAAGAAACAGGAATTGTTTTTTTTTTTTGTTTGTTTTTTATTTTACAGCTAAATTGAGTCTTCCTCTGAACTTAACCCTCCTCTTGATGACTTTTTCAGGCGTTTGGCCAGGCCTACACCAACCAGCGTAAGGTGGCAGAGGATGGTGAGACCAACGAGGAGACTCTGCTCCAGGAATCTGCTTCCAAGGAGGCCTACTACATGAGTCGCCTGTTGGAGCTGCAGACGGAGGTGACGCTGAGCCATTCTGTGGCATCCAACGCCCAATCAGAGAACGAGAGGCTCAACCTGCTTCTGCAGGAGCTGCGAGAGGTGAGCTTGCACGCACAGATTTAGACAAATGGCATTTTGCTTGTTAGACAAAAATAAATAATATCTAATGCTACATGACAGTGGTCTTTGATTAAAATTTAGAGTTTGATAAAATCAAAATGTCCCTTCCAATAAGAGGTCAAACCTGTAGAGAACACAATCAGTGCATGGAGGTCTAATTTTGATTTTTGTGTAAGCACGCATGTCTGCAGCCAGTGTGTCGGGAAACGCTGAAGTTTGACCCAGGGTCAGACACTACGGCCACGACCCCATTGTGGGGGGCAAATCCGGTGCTAAGCTGGGGAATAAGTGAAATTCCCTGAGCTCGCACATGTGCAGCGACAGAGAAGCCAGTTTGCTCTCATTGCACAACCGCCGTAGGACTCATTGACTGAACTGATCAGGGAGTGATGTGATGGAAGGGTTACTGTGCTGTCTGATGTGAGTTTCTGCAGAGCTAAACTCACAACATGCTCACAAAATTTAAAAAATTCTACATGTTGGATTACGTTAAATGAAAATGTCAACCTAGTTAGAGCAACAATTAAGCCTAATTCATGGCTTAATGCATGTTTGAACCAAGATATCACTTTGATAGCATGTTTAAGAGAAGCCATGCTTCTGTTTGAAATCCTCATCTGCACTCATGATGTCCATTAATGAGGAAGAGATGGTCTTTCATGAAGAGCAGCAGACATTACCTCACACAAGGGGGTTCATTCAGCAAAGGTCGCCTCTAATAAAGCTTTACTGATGGTCTGACCAACTTTCCACAAAGAAAATTGACACAAAAAGATGAGCTGGAGAGAGATTTGCATTCGTCTTTCAGCTGTTTAGTGTGAAACCAGAAGATTTGAAAGACTTGGAGAAAATAACAGTTTAAATGTCTACTTAAAATGTTTTCTCATTTATCTGCAGAACCTCAAATATTTAAAAATGTACAAAAAAAATCTCAATTAACTGCAAACTGGTTTATTTTCACAGGTTTTTTTTAGCAGTGATGACAATAATACATACAAAATAGCAAGATGTTTGCTGTGACTACAGTTTGTCAAAGTTGCTGAACCTTCCTCAGTCAGACTGTGCTGTGAACAGTAATTCAGAGGTTCAGACGGTTCATTCTGACAGTGTGCTGCACTCTCCCTGACCCTGACGGCTGCCATGCCTGATAAGATACCAGCTTACACACCTTTACTGACTGATAATTGGCCTCAAATCTCAAGCACTTCATACACCGTTTAGTCTAATTTCCTGTCCTGTCGCAGGAGGGTTTTAATAATCTGTGCCTCTTTTATAAAGCTGAGGTGCTGTATACAGTATTGTACTGTTCAAGAAAAAAATTCAACAATTAACTGTGTTTCTTGCTCAACTATTCATGGCACTCTATCATAGAATCGACAAACTCAAAAGAAACAACGTTCATAGTTAAGATGGAAGGAAGGACTGCTGGTACCGACTTCCTGTTTGAAAACAACATCCCTTTGGTTTTGTCAGCATTTAGCTCCAGTTGGAGATGGAACAAATCTGACTGGATGATGTCGAAACCAGGCTGTAAAAGCTGGAAAACCTTTGCAACTGTTTTAGCTCGACAATAAACAACTGTGTTGTCAGCATATCAGGAATGATCTAACTTACATTACTCATGTAGATTGTGAAGAGTGTGGATCCTAAGATTGAGCCTTGTGGTACACCATTGTTGACAGTTATATATTTCTTATATCTGGAGGCCATAAGAACTCAGAGATTTCTGTGGATTCCATTAAATTTGTCAGATGTATTTTCAGTGTCTGACCCTTTTTTCAGTTTAACGTGTGGTAGAAATCATCCTTTATACTCAATTTTTTTACATATCTATCTGTTTTAGAAAAGGGGTTTTCAAAAAATCAGAAAAGTGTGTTTATCATTTACAATGCATGCCCAGTTTTGCTGGTGTTGGTAAAAACGTTTACACTGTATTGACTGAAACTGCAGTGCTCTGTTGACATTAAAATCTACTTTGTCGGTTTCAGTCTTTTAATGCAGAAGATTCAATGTGCAGTGATGTTTTTAGTTTCAAGATATCATTCCTACAAACATTGCTCGCTCTTTATCTCTCTCACACAAACACAAACTCACACACAAAAGATTCGGGAGGTTTTATGTGTCTTAGCTCTATAAGTTACCCCCTCCTGGTGTGGCTCACTCCTGACACTAACTCTAGGTCAGCAGTTTTTCCACACAGCATGCACAGAGGGCTGCAGAGGAGCTCTGCAGCAAGAATAAAATAGAAATGTTTTTATATATAGCACCTCCCAGCTTTTGTATTCTGTTGTGAGAGAACAGATAATTTTGCTCAAGTTTCCTACAACCCACGTGACTTCTTCTAGACATATATTTATGACTTTAGTTATGTAAAAAATCAGATTTTAAAATAAATAATCTGTGTGATAATGTGCATGTCAACTAGTCATCCTTTGTATTTTGTCGTTCCTTCTATCACACCTCGTGTTCTGTTTTTATCCCTGCTCTCCAGAGTAACGAGATGTTGGAACTCCAAAGGAGCAGGATGAGGGAGGAGATCAAGGAGTACAAGTTCAGGGAGACCAGGCTGCTTCAAGACTACACAGAGCTTGAAGAGGAGAACATAACGCTGCAGAAACTGGTGTCCACACTCAAGCAGAACCAGGTTAGCACAAACATCACTGCATGAACATTTTGTACTCGTAACAGCTTTGGAGTTAGCGTGTCATTGAGGTGTAACTTTTCACTCACTCATGACATGGGATTCTCATTTTACCACTCACAAGCAAATTTGATCCCTTAAAGTTGCGTCATCACTTTTCAAGATGAAACGCCATCCTTTGCTTTGAGTCACTTTTATAAATGTGGCTACACGTAAGTTCAAGTTTTATTTCTAGGAATATCCGTTCATTTATTTTTTTATGCCTAGTATTTTCGCTCTCATTTGCTGATGCAGTTGTGTCAGTCATGCATGCAACTATCCTGCTACTAAAACAAAGCAAATGGTTTGATTTTAGGCAACCAAGAAACTGTGAAACAGGATCAGAAAACAAAGTTAAAACGATTTATCTGAAAATCAATCACTGGCTTATGCATGTTCAGAATCAGAATAAGCTTTATTATCATTGTACCAAAATACGTGCAGTGAGATTACGTTTGTAGAGTCGTCCGAAAGATGGAAGGAGTGCACGCTGCTGCTGCAACTGGAGCGCGACTCCTTATCCTTTTTCAGAATACGTTTTTAGATAGAAAAGGGGACAAAACCATGAGAATAGATAGTGGCATTACAAAAAAAAAAATCTCTTCGCACCTTGTCCTTTCAGGACACGATTTAAGATATCAAAAACTCTGCCAGCAAGCACATTTATAAACACATTACAAAGCTTTTCCTTAGTTACACATATCCCAGGAGAAATGTGAAAAGTCAGCCCGCATCCGAGGCCAAACGGGGGAGTCTGATTCAGATAAGCCACAATTGTTGATTTTTTTTTCAGGCAGGTTGTTTTTTCTTGTCAGCCTTGAGTTCTGCTGGTACTTTCAAGATCCAAAATGGCCAGATTTGTGGGCATTCCACTGGTTCGTGCTTTCGAGACTCTTCCAAGGTCATCTCCAACATGCTGGCGAGTCCCAGAAGTTGCAGGTGGCCTGCGATTCTTACAAATCCCTTCCATCTTACAGTTTAGCTTGTAAATCAGCTTGTTTTGAGTACTCAAAGCACGAACCAAACCTTCACACAGACTCTGCAGTTTTGCCATTACTGAAACTGCTGCCGCTGTCTTCCTTAATAGCAGATAGCATAGGAATCCGCCGATGCCAAAAAGCAGAAACCCTGCTATCATGAATCCAATTATATAAACATCTTCAGCATCCTCCTGAGACAAAACGAAAAGACACATCAGCTCCCAAACTCCTCATGGATCCATGACGTATCCTGCTGCGTGAGTCTCAGCAGGGCGTGAGGGCTCTCCAGGACCCTGTCGCTTTGTTGAAAAGATTTTGTCGATTGCATTGAAATCTTAAAGGTTTTGTTTAAGGTAACCACTACAAATTACCGGTATAAAATCAAACATAAAAAAATTATCCTGAACTCTATCAAATAGTGCGGTTTGAAAGAATGTATTGCAATAGTTTTTCAAATATACTGACATGCAATTCTGAAATGCAGGTATGCACCCAATCTAAACAATGCACATTTATCTGAAAGCTTTAATAAATCTGATCCACAATATTTAGCACATCAAACTGTTGGACTTAATCCCAAATAGCTCTTGATCGAATTGATCTATTTTCAGTCACTTTAGCTGTTTTTGCAAACAAGCCCATGGGATTGTTGGCAGTCATTCAAAAATTTTGCTCACAATTTTTAATTTTAAGGACAAATTAATCAATATAAGGAAGAAAATTGTGCAGAACTAGTTTATTTTTTTAGGATATTTTAATGGTTTCCATGACACTGAAAGTAAAATTGAGAGACTTTACCTGTGTGGCTATCAAAATCAAAATTTATCATAATTTTATCACATCTGTTTTTAAATTTCTTCACCTCTCTTTGGTTTATAGGTGTGATAGTTAAAATCACGCTATATAAGGAGAGGAAAAGCTTTTAACTTTGTTTTTAGCTTGGAGTTTAGTCCTCCTTGTTTTTTTTGTTTTTTTTAAAAGCTGATTCAGTTTTCTCCTCTCTCCTTCCCCAGGTGGAGTACGAGGGACTGAAACATGAAATCAAGGTGCTGGAAGAGGAAACTGTTCTCCTTAACAGCCAGCTGGAAGACGCACTGCGCTTGAAGGAGATCTCTGAGGGTCAGTTGGAGGAAGCCCTGGATGCCCTGAAGACTGAGCGTGAGCAGAAGAACAATCTGAGGAAAGAACTGGCCCACCACATCAGTCTGAGTGACAGCGTTTACGGTGCGGGGGCCCATCTGGCGCTCACTGTCACTGGCGTTGAGGGTCTTAAGTTCCCCGAGGAGACCAACGGAACCAACGGCTCTAACGGCAGCGTTGTTCCTGCTGCTAACGGCAACAATGAGGACTGCAACCGCTGCAACGGTCACCTCCACAATGGATCAGGGTTAGCTAAGATGAATGGGGAGTACCGCGCAGGCAGGAAAGGAGAAGGCCTCGTCCCAGACCTGTTCAGTGAGCTTAACCTGTCCGAGATGCAGAAGCTCAAACAGCAGCTGCTGCAGGTGGATCACCAAGAAATCGTTTATTATTAAATCAAGCGTAAATGATAATATCAAATATGTATGGCAGCAGAAATGCTTTAACTTATTTTGACAATGAGTGTCAGTTTTTAAGATTGTATCTGAATACCAGTGTCTAAATTATCTTAAATGACATGGAGCTGCTGAGTGGGTTGAAAAGGCCTCAGAGCAGATTAGATTTCAGTTTGCAGAGGCTGAAATAATTGCTGTGCCCAGTTTCTCTTTAATTACATTTTTGTAAAAAAAAAAAAAAAAAAAAAGGAAGCTATTTTAAAACTAAATCAAATTTAACTATAATCAATAAATGTTTATTTCATAAGAAAATGCAGATATATATTTAAACCCATGTTTGTAAGAGGCACGGTTGTAACACATTCAATCAGTGCAAACTTAAGAAAAATGTTTGTTTTTGATGCAGCATGTGAGTTTGGACATGCGGGTCATAGTGGTTGTGCAGTTTGATAACTAAGCCCATCTGCAGTACTTCACTTTAGGACCCAATTAAACATGACATCTACATATAATCCTGTTTTATTCCTCCATCCTGCAGGTGGAGTGTGAAAAAGCAGCCCTGCTCATGAACCTGCAGGAGTCTCAGACTCAGTTACAGCACACGCAGGGCGCTCTGACGGAGCAGAACGAGCGCGTCCATCGCCTCACCGAGCACGTAAACGCCTTGAAACACCTCAGTGGAGACAAAGAGCTTGATGACCCACAGGAAAGTGAGAAACCTGATGGTGGCTCCTTGCTGCCAACAGCCCACAGCCACCGCAACCTTGATGTCCACGGGTTTGAGATCCTGGAGTGTAAGTACAAGGTGGCGGTGACTGAGGTTATTGACTTGAAAGCAGAACTGAAGGCCTTAAAGGAGAAGTACAACCAGGAGGTGGAGGGACAGGGGGAGTGTCACAGTGATGACAGAGTCCAGGCTTTGAGTGAACAGGTTTGTCAAAGTCACATTTAGCTCAAGTTATTCAGCAACAGGTTTTACTAATTTAAATGTCTCTTCTCAGATATCTTATCTGGAGCGGAGCTACCGTGAGAGCCGGGAAAGGGTGGTGAGCCTGGAGGCAGAGCTCCGAGCAGCAACAAGCACTGCAACCGAGAGTCAGAGCAATCTGAACGCAGCGCAGGATGAGCTGGTGACGTTCAGTGAGGAGCTGGCACAGCTCTACCATCACGTCTGTCTCTGTAACAACGAGACACCGAACCGCGTCATGCTGGACTATTACCGCCAGAGCCGCATCACACGCAGCGGAAGCCTCAAAGGCTCCGACGATCCTCGGGCTTTGCTCTCCCCTCGCCTCACACGACGCCTCGCCGCAGCATCTGCAGCCTGCTCCCCTGACCCCTCACGCAGTCCTTTGGACTCCCCATGCACTCACCACAGTGAGCTGTCGACTAACTCAGTGGACTCTTCATCCTGCCATAGTAGCCCCAGCCGCAATATCACAGGGTCTCCGACCATCAGCATCTCTCGTTGCCCTTCTCCAGTGCCCGCAGATGCAGTTGGGGATCTGCGAAAGGAGCCAATGAACATCTATAACCTAAATGCTATAATCAGAGACCAAATCAAACATCTCCAGAGAGCTGTTGATCGTTCGCTGCAGCTGTCCAGGCAGAGAGCCGCTGCCAGGGAGCTGGCACCGATGCTGGACAAAGACAAGGAGTCCTGTATGGAGGAGATTCTGAAGCTCAAGTCCCTGCTGAGTACCAAGAGAGAACAGATCGCCACGCTAAGGCTGGTGCTCAAAGCCAATAAGCAGGTAAACGCTAATTATTTTGTCTAAAGCATAGTTATAAATTGTTTTAGAAGAGACACTCTTTCAAACTTAATGTCCACTTTTGCAGACAGCAGAAAACGCTTTGGCTAACCTGAAGAGCAAGTATGAGAATGAAAAGGCGATGGTGACAGAGACAATGATGAAGCTGAGGAATGAGCTGAAGGCTTTAAAAGAAGATGCTGCCACGTTTTCCTCTCTCAGAGCCATGTTTGCCACACGGTAAGAGACAATACACACACACAATTATTATTTATTTATTTTTAATTACATGGAAAAAAAATGATGAAAAAGGAAGATGCTAATGGATGTTTTGTTTCTCTGCAGATGTGATGAGTATGTTACCCAGCTGGATGAGATGCAGAGACAGCTCGCGGCAGCAGAAGATGAGAAGAAGACTCTGAACTCGCTCCTACGTATGGCCATCCAGCAGAAACTGGCCTTGACTCAACGTCTTGAAGATCTGGAGTTTGATCATGAACAGATTCACCGTGGCCGAGGTGCTAAAGTGCCGAAGATTAAAAGCAGCCCTCCTAAAGTAAGTCACAGACATGCCTCCACAACTCTGAAACACTCAGGCCATTCTCCAACATGAGCCTTCATAGTCCCAAAGCCCCAAATCCCTCTAGGTCAAACATGGGCTACTGTAAACTCTATCTAAGCACCATTTGCAGACTCTGAGAGGCTAATAATAGATTTCAGATGCATCATTGATCTAAGACCGGTCAACAGCCCATATCTTATAGGCCCAGCTCCTGCAGCCATGACGGTATCCCCTTTCCCTCAGAGAAAGAAGATCAATGATAATCATCACGCCCACCAGCCAACACAAAGAGGCAAAGGTAGGATACAGAAAGAAGGGGACAAAAACAGATTTTATGTTTGATTTGAACATGCAGCAACACTCAGGAAGGAACTGCTGACACTGCGCTCAATTCCCAAAGCAGCACAGCCTTATCTTAAAATGAACCTAAACTGAACCCGATGTCTTTTTAAGAAACAGATAATTTAATATCAGAGATAAATCGTCAAAATGTTCACCATTTTAAAGTGTGGTCTGGTTTATGTCCTTTCAAGAGTACTGTATATGTATAAAACTGGAAAAACAGGAAACAGAAATGATTGCAGCGTCATCTTCAGTTAGGTGGCTAACAGCACCTCCTGGTGGAAAATTTGGTGAATTACACCTTGTAATATTTTTAGCCCTAATTTGTCACATCAGTCCTGTTAGTTGCTTTAAGAGCAAGTGTTTTCTAAAGCAGCTCATGTTTTAGTAGCATTTAAACCAGTTGCATCTCCATTTTTGCTTTTACCATTTAGTGAAACAATGGATTTTCCTTAAAATGCAGTGTAACTAATTTTCCACTAGATGGCAATACTTAGAGGTAAATGAAAGGATTATGTTTTAAAAATGCAGTGGCTACATGAAGTGGATGTTCTGGAGTTCTACAGGATTAAATTATTAAGGATTTGTTCCATTTCTTATGTAGGAATCAAATACATGTTGAATTGAAGATATTTCTGTGTAACTGTGTCCATGTCATTGTCTGTTTTCTAACAGAGTCTGTCCTTGTGGTCACATAAAACAGGTTAACAATATTTGTTTCGTAGGATTGATGTGAAACACAGACTAGGATCAGTTCAATTCTGTTGTATGAAAGTAATTTTTAGTTTTTTCTCTAAGCTGAAGCCTCCCCTTGTCTTGTCCACTCTGTTTTCTCTGTCTTGTCTAACCTCGACTATCACCACTCTGTATATTTGTCTAATTTATCAGTTTTTTGTAGATTGTCAGCAGCCTGCTGTCTCAGTACCGTCACTCTCCCCACAAATAAGGCGAGGGAGAGCCTCCCTACGCCGCAGGTAACGAGTTAGAGAACCTGCTGACTTCTCCACATTTCATAGAGCAGAGCTCCTGCATCCATATAACTGGTCCTGCATGTGCTCAGTCTTCACATGTGCAAAACACAGTAATGGATGACTGAAACACCTAATGTAGCAATATCACATGTCACTGGGTGAAGGAGTGAAGAGGTTTTCACTTTGCATGCTTAACCTTGCATGGTGGCTTTGCCTACATGCTTATTTCATTGTTTTTGGTTCTTTTCATGAGCCTAGACTTCAAAAACACAACATCAATGTTATAGGTCTAACCTTGATTCATGGTCTCAAACAGCTGATTAGGGCTTTTTAATGGAAGATGCAGATTGTTTTTTTTTTAATCAAGACAAGCAGTAGCCATTATGTAAAACTTTTTTGGCACATACATTTAGTAGTTTAACATTTATACAGGTTTTTTTTTTTTTTTTACATTTTGTATAAGAAATAAACAGAAAATAAATCTTGTCCAGGGTGTTTGGTATTCTTAAACATAGGTCTCAAAATGTTTGAACACCATCTTGAATTTGTCCTGCTGAGTTTATTTTGTTTGTCTCGTTGATTTTAGTTGAAATACATGATAGAAGCTACAGATGGGAGGAAGGTTTAAGCATTGGCCAACCTCTTACTATTTCAGATAGTACTATTTAAAAAAATTGTTTTCCTTAATCTAAGAAACAACTTGCGTCATTCAATTTACCTGCACCTTAATAATTTGCCGAGTTTTGATTAAGTGAAAATGTCGTGTGTGGGGAAAAATCTATGGTTCCATCCAATTGTTTCTGCTCATTTATACCAACAGTCAGGCTCACGTTTCCTGTTTTTAATCTTTGCATTAAGCTCAGCTAACCCTGCAGCCGGTTGTCCTTTTATTATTATTTTTAAATCTAACCCTTAGTTGGAAAACTAAACAGTTTCTCCTTAAATTATTTTACTTTCCTTCAGAAAGCCACATTATTTTTTTAGGCATGTCATTTTTTGCATTGTTTAGTTGCATACAGTATAACCTTATTCTTCTTTATCGCTATAGCTTCTTTTCATTGCACGTAAATGACCAGCCTTTTATTTGATTCTTTTTTCTTCTTCTTGTGATTCTCTCTGTTTTCAGTCGTAAATATACGGCAGAGCTCCTGGAACACCAGACAGTCGTGTCCAGCAGCCACAGCCTTCTCTCCTCCTGTGACCCACGTAACTGCCTGGCCCACCAGCCCCACTTTCCGGGTACGTAACGACGCCGCTCCAGCCCCAACCCCAGCCTCGGTCTGGTAGGAGTCACTCGGAGGCAGAGACACCCTGGATGAGGGATTTATTTTCCCTCAGCCCAGTAGTCGAACCCGGTGCTTACAGGACTCTGTCCCCTCCCCAAGCTCTACGTGGCCCGGCTCTGGCAGGCCCTCTGGTTCCCTGGGTCGCAGAGGAGAAGGAGGACGTGCTCCCTCCATCTGTGGAAGTGACTTCCTGCCATGGAAGCAGAAAACAAGACTAAACTGAGTGACACTGGACTGGAATTTTCTCCTAACACAAACTATTTATTAATAATTTATTGTCGATTTATTATTTATTTCATATACTTAGAATAATCTTTACGTTTTTTGTTATTTTGCCAGGTGGAAATGGAGACTTGTTTTTTTCTGCGGTGGTAAGGATGGTCGGTTTTCTTTCCAACCAAACTTGGACAGTACAGATATTCTTTTCAAACACTTACCTAACCATAACATACAACATCAATAATTATATTTTTGTGAGTATAACTATTCACAATGAAACCAATTCTCATTTTACATGCAGGTGTTTGAGGAGAAAAGCATTTTAATACTAAAAAAAATGTTTGATTATGAATGGATTTCAGCTACCTTTGACCTTTGTTGCTTTTGAACAGATTTTTATTTTCAAATCAGTTGCACAAATAGTGTTTTTATACCACTTAATTGTTTTCTTGTTGTGTTTTCTACGAGAGCTTAAAGCTTAAATCTCACAGACTGTGACAGAATAGCGGATGAGTGTTTGAGAGCAAGACTTTTTGTTTCCATTTTGAATTGCACAGGTTTAAATAACCACAGAGTGAACAAAAGTTTAAGTGTTGAATTGCTGTTACTGTCATGTTGACATTGTCTTCCTCTCATTGTTTTCTGGGATTCTCATCGAGTGGTTTCTACAGTGGAGTTCCCTTTATCACGACAGACGGAAATAACATCCAGAGTGACATTGTCATTATCCTGCGCTACACTTGTTGTCACATCTCCTCTATTAGCCGCCTCCTTGTGCTTCCACCAAACAGAATGCAGTACTGTACAAGCACAAATATGCACCACGCAGTAAAGCGATACAGTAGAGGCTGATCTGGATGAGATTTACATTGATCTTTTCTTATTGCTATCATTGTGTATTAGCCAGCAAACTATCAAACATACGTTTTTAGTGGCTAAATCTAAATATTTCCCTTTCTTAAAGGCTAAAATCTAAATTCAGGCGTTTAAGTTGCAGAGTTTCCACCTTTCTGTAATTTTCATAAATATCACTATCTCTTATTTAAACATCTATCTGCACTGATGCTTGTCAAATAGGAAACTTTGAACCCCATAGACAGTATTGGTGTAATGACGTCATTTCTGTGGAAGCAGTCTATAGACTTCCTGTTCAGTGTGCGTGTGCGTCTGATTTGTCTTTAACTGTATAGATTGTTGCCTTTGCAGCGATTGACTGATGAAAACGTGTACTCAGAAGTATCATCTGACTCCCTGCAGGTCCATCGACTCTGATTTGTTTGCATTACTGTAGTTGGAGAGAAATGCATCTAATCACTGAAAGGAATTATGGTTTAAACTAATTGTATGCTGTAACGGGGTTTACCATTTCTCCATCATTTAGGTATTAAACTGGTTACCACATGCAAGTAAAAGATTCTGTCCTTTGTGTTTGTTTTTTCTGTTTAATGAACTTTGGCGACAAAGAAGCAGCGTGACTTTGTGTACCAAACTGCAAATAGGTAGTTTGAAAAGAAGCAAAACATCAATTTAACTAAAATGTTCATGTCTGTTACTCTGTGTCATCTTAAATTGAAGGTGTAAAGCACGTTTTAAAGCAAAAACATGGTTTGAGCAAGTGTCAGACTGGAGACTGGAGATGAACTGTAGACTTTGAATAGTAAATTCAGATAAAAGTATTTGATGATGTGAACATCCTGTTTGTGTGTTGGCTCTTTTCACATGCTTCTGTTTAATATGTTTAAATTAGTGAACTGTTTTTCACTGCAACTTTAAATGTTATAGCAAAATGTAAACACATCGGCCAACGTTTGTTTAGAATAACTGTGAAGCTTAACATGCATTTAAAAAGAGTTGGAAAAATAAGTAGAGAGCATCACAAAGTAACTATAAGGGTATTTTTTATATATATACTGCCTTTTTTTAATGCTAAAGTATTAAGGCTGTGTATTTGAAAACTTACACTTGAATATAAAACTTAAGAAAATAAATTTATATTTGGGTAAAAGGCTATCTGGAAGCCCATTTGTGCCACTTTGAAAACAATTATTTTAAGTCATATTGTGAGATGCTATCAGTTCAGTTCAATTCAGTTTATTTATGTAGCACCAAGTCACAAAAGAAGTCATCTCAAACTTCTAGAAACTTCAGTTAATCCATTTTGGATTAACTGAAGACTTTTTAAAGAAGTATTTGGACACCCAAATAACAAACCATTGCAATAGTCCAATCTAGACATGACAAATACATGAACTAGTTTTTCTGCATCATTTTTAGATAAGATATTTGTAATTTTAACAATAATACGTAAGTGGAAGAATGTGGTTCTAGTAACATTTTTAATGTGGGGGATAAAAGACATGTCCTGATCAAAAATAACTCTAAGTGTTTTAGCATTAGAGCTGGAGGACAGATTAAGATTAATGCCATCCAAGGAGGGCAAAAGACTGAAAATTTAATTCCTAAGATGCTCAGGTGCAAAAACTAAAACCTCAGTCTTGTCTGTGTTCACAAGCAGAAAATTTAGGGTCATCCAGGTTTATACATCTTTAAGACATGCTTGTAGTCTAAGTAACTGATTGGATTCATTGGGTTTCATGGACAAATATAACTGTGTATCATCAGCATAACAATGAAAAAGTATCCCATGCTGTTTAATCACAGTACCTAATGGAAGCATATACAAGGTAAAGAGTATTGGTCCAAGCACTGAACCTTGAGGAACTCTATGACTAACTTTGGTGTATGATAAGATAGATATTATTTAAACCAATTTAGAGCCATTCCTGTAATTCCAACATCATATTCAAGTCTCTGTAGTAGGGGGAGTGGTGGCGCAGAGGTTAGAGAAGGTGGGCCTGTAATCAGAAGATCGCCAGTTCAAGCCCCGGTACCGACAACATCCACCCTGGGCCCTTGAGCAAGGCCCTTAACCCCAACCATCTGCTCCCCCGGGTGTCCAAGATAGCATCTCTCTGCTCCACACAGAGGGCTGTGGTAGCTCGGTGGTCTGTGGTTGTGTCAAGAAGGGCATCCAGCATAAAGAAAATAACTGCCAAGTCTTCGTGTGACTTAGTTCGCTGTGGCGACCCCTAACGCAGCTGAAGGAAGAAAAAATAATAATAATTCAAGTCTCTGTAGTAGAATATTATGATCAACTGTATCAAATGCAGCACTGAGGTCTAACAGGACCAGTGCAGACACCTGTCCTTTGTCAGAGGCCATGAGAATATGATTGGTAACTTTCACCAGTGCAGATTCAGTTCTGCTCTAAACCCTGACTGAAACTCTTCAGATTATTTCTTTGCAGAGATTCATGCAAATGACCAGCAACTATTTTCTCTAGAATTTTTTAGATGAAAGTTAAATTAAATATACTTTAGGTCTATAATTGGCTAGGATTCATATGTTTATTCAGCAACGGTTTAATTACAGCAATCTTAAAGCTCTTTCACAAAATTATAACTTAATATTTCATAATTATGATTTCACAAGTTGGGCAGCACGGTGGCGCAACTGGTAGAGCTGCTGCCTCTCAGCGAGCAGGTCCCTGGTTCAAACCCCGGTCCAGGGGCCTTTCTGGGTGGAGTTTGCATGTTCTCTCCGTGCATGCGTGGGTTTTCTCCGGGTACTCCGGTTTCCTCCCACAGTCCAAAAACATGCATGTTAGGCTGATTGGTAACTCTAAATTGTCCCTAGGTGTGCGTGAGAGAGTGAATGGTTGTTTGTCTCGTTTGTCTCTATGTGGCCCTGTGATGGACTTGCGACCCGTCCAGGGTGTACCCCGCCCCTCGCACAGTGATTGCTGGACATGGGCACCAGCGACCCCCGTGACCCAAAATGGAATAAACGGGTAAAGAAAATGGATGGATGGATGGATGGATTTCACAAGTTACTTTTTTTTTCCTCCAATGCATTTTTTTCCTAATCAAAGTGATGGAAATGGGCTTTTATCATTTGACAAAAAAAAAAAAAAAAAAAAAAAAAAACATTTATTTTTCAATGCAGCTCAAAAAATGATTTGAACTGAAGTCATTTCTGCCATAGTTGTTTGTTTTTATTTTTTCGAAAAAGTGAATTGTTAAAATAATTTTAATGTTATTGCAGTACCTCATTAAAAAGGTTTAAAGTTTGTGATTTTATTTTTACCAAGCAATTTTTTTTTACAAAAATGCAAAACAGTCCAGATTTTATTTGTTTTATTTTTAGCTTTCTCTTGTTCATTTTCAAGATCACTGTAGTTATTTAGGAATAGTAGAACAGCATAAACATAAAAACAAACATGTTTTGAGCAATTAGTTGTTAAAAACATAAATGGGTAATTGATTTAACATTTAAAATAAAACTCAAAATATAGTCGTCCTGAATGAAAACAATCAATCTTATAACCATTGTCCTCAACATTAGGATACAGGGTCTCAGGAGGTTTAATGCACAATATTTTTATAAATATAAATTTAGAAGACAAGCTTCAATATATCCTGATGAATGTTCAATAATCCAGGTAGAAAAATCTAGGTCCAGAGGACCTGACTTAACTTTTTAGACAAGCTTGAATAATTTCAGTAGTGAGAAGCTTTTCTCAAAAAGTAACAACTACTAAAAACTAAACTAATGTGTAGAAGGTGAGTCCCTAACTCAAGTATTGTATTTATCAAGTAACAACATAAATATTCTGAAACTCTGCTTTGGCTTTTAGTTTTGTTGTGCCACCCTAAGATTTTCAGCCCCCCCCCCCCCCTCCTCCCCCCATGGACCCCATTAAAACATTTCTGGTGGCACCACTGGATTTTACTCCAACTCCTGTAACGTCACTACATTTTCATTTGGAAGACTTCTCTCATGTAAATAAGAATCCGCATTCACGTTTGAAAGTTGAACTTTGTAGCAGAACCCA